GAAGAATGGAAGAGAAGAATTGCAGCATGGCCATCCCCCTCCCCTAGGTAATTTCTCACTTTCCTTTTCACTGTCTGTCTGTCTCTCTCTCTCTCTGGGAGCACACATACCTTAAGGCAAAAACCTAAAAATTAAAAAAAACTACTTAAGAGTTGGCAACTTGAGAAAATAGTCAATGCTTTGAAAAACCATCAAAGCAAAATGATAACTTAAATTATTCCTGTAAGTGGGAGGCTAAGGCTCCAAGGCCCAACTGTTGTTATGGATTCCTTTTCTAACAAGATGTCTTGGGCATCATTAAGATTGATTGGTCACTCAGAGACAGGCAATTACAGTACTTGAAAGAAATTATTGTCCTCACTCCTAAATAAGTTTCAGAGGAACTAATTATTCAAAACAACTTTAAATAAGAAAACTTCCTGATGACAATAGTTGTTCAGCTTTTAAGGTTTCCCTCTGGAGCCTGGAATGTCATGCAGCAGAGATAGGCCCTAGGGATGGGCAATGCCTTTGTAAATTGATAGAAAGCAGGAGGGACACTTTCCAACCTCACTGGTTAATTAGTTGCTATCCTATCTTCACAGGGTTTGACCCATGCCCTAGAAAACAAAACAAAGCAAAAATGTACTCAAATTCAGCAAAACCAACATGCCTAGGAGATTAAATTAGTTCATAAAAATCAAAAGTTGTGGGAAAGGCAGTGTGGACAGAAGTATGACTACTTTTCCAATTTTTCCAAAATCTTTTCAGAAGGGGACTGGAGAAGTCATGCCCACAAACTAACAGACCATTTATTTTCTATTAACAGGATTCTTTCTACCTCCTGTCCCTGGTATAGTATCTTTGAGATGTTTATTTCAACCCGATTACAGTATTTTCTTGTGTTTATCTCTTTCCAAGACACAGAACTTCTCTTTTCCTTGAGATGTGTATTAAGCCTTTCTTTAACTAATCTCTTCCCAAGACACAGATCTTCCCTTCCAATCACCACCTAAGAATTGTGGAATCCACCTGTAACTACAAGCCCCCCACCCCTTCTACATGTCCCGCTTTTTTGGGCCAGACCAGTGGAAAATCTCTTCACTAAATGTTGTCTGTCAATCTCAAAAACAAATAAAAGGGACCCTTGTACATGATCACCCCGAGAAAGGCATTTTTGCCTCTTCTCCAGGCCTAGGTCACTCACAGTTGGCTTGGAAATAAACCACATTAATTATTAATTATTAATTTTACAGTTGGTTATTTTTTCTGTCAACAGCAGTAATAAAAAAATCTCACTATTTTGTAGACCATAGTTTTTTCAGGAGTACTCCTCTAGGTTGAAACACCAGTTCCTAATATTGAGCATGTTATTTAAAACTTGAGTCTTGGAGCCAGCAGATGGTGTGGCAGTTATGTCGTTGAACTCTCACATGGCCAACTGCTGTTCGAGTCCCAGACCCAGTGGCTTGAAAATCACACCAGACATGTGTGCGGGTGTGCCCAAGATTTCTTTCTTTTTTTTTTTTTTTGGAGAGATTTTCACTATAGGGCGCATGCGCTCGCCAGACAGACAGAAGAGACATTAGAGACAGAAAGCGAGAAATCACCCCCCAGGGGGGATGGTCACACCGCAATCCCTTCTCCTCCATTCTCCTCTCGGGATCCTGGTCATGCACGCACACGCGCCCGGCGTGAGTTTTAAGCCACCGGGTCCGGGACGCGAACCGCGGTCGACTACGTGGGAGTTCAGCGACATAGCCATTACGCCAACTGCTGGTTCCCTGCCCAAGATTTTTAGAGAAGAATGGAGAAGGGATTGTGGTATGGCCATCTCTCCAGGGGTGATTTCTCACTTTCCCTCTCACTATGTCTGTCTCTCTCTCTCTCTTTCCCCTCTGTGAGCACATGTGCCCTAAGGCAAAAACCTCTAAAACAACAAATAAATAAATAAATAAATAAAACTTGAGATTTTAGTTCTCTCAAATGTAAAAGGAGGTTAAGTAATAGTACCTGCAGTGGGTAATTAAATGAGATAATGTATTTAAAGTGCCTGCAACATGGAATGAGTTCAATATAGTTCATCTTAATTATTGTTTAGCCATCACTACCACTCTCACCTAGGCTATGGGCGATACTGGCTCCTACTAGGTCCTCTCAATTCTATTCATTTTTTACCCCTGACAATCTAACATGAAGCCACCTCTCCACTTGGGTGACTCTACATATTAAAATGTCAATCCTGGGCCAGCCAGGTGGCATAATGGTTAAGATGGCTGTATCCCTCATGGCTGGCAGTATAGTCAAATCCTACCCAGTGGCTTGAAAAACATGCTGGCTTCATGTGTGTGCATGCCCTAAATTCTGAGAGTAGTATGGAAAAGGGATTGCAGCATGCTCATCACCACTCAGGGATGTTTTTCACTTTCTCTCCCTCTCTTTCTGGCTCTTTCTTTGTCTCTCTAGTGAGCACACATGCCATATAGCAAATTTTAAAAAAAAAATTAAATTAAATATCTATTCTTGTTCCCTTCCTCCAGAAAGACTAAAGCCCTAACTTCCCAAGCTAGTTAGGCTATAACCTGACTCAACTATTTTTACATTCCTATCCTCACCTTTTACTTTCTAATTTCTGTATCCAAATTAAATTAGACTTCTGTGTCAAGTCCTTATTTCCTTTATGGTGTGGATCTCTTCATCTGGTATTCTCATTGTTGCAGGCACGATGTCTACTATCTTTACCATTGTCCTCAGCATCTAGAGTCAAACCTGGCACACAGAAGAAGTTCAGTAATGTTTTTCCTGAATGGATAAATTTCTACTTCAAATTCTGTATTTCTTTTAGTCCTATCATTTTGCTTCTCTTTCATCTCCATCAGACATTCTAGTATCTGTGGGAGGAACCTTATCCGTCTCAGAAACACACTATGAAACAAGGTTTCTTAAGTCAAAATGGATTTTGCATAAAATATTTGATAGTAAACAATTGTTGGACTTTGGGAAACCATAAAATAATACAAGACACATTTTCTTAAGTTTCACTAGTCAGTAATCTGGTAAGGATAGGTCAATCTTCAGGGTCCTTACAGCTAAAGCATGTTATGATTATATGTGTACTCACTGAACAACTATTTTTAGAAATTGTGCATTATAGGGGCCAGCAGGTGGTATAGTGGTTAAGGCGCAGGACTCCTCTGGCTGACTACAATTCAAATCCCGGAACTGGAGGCTTGAAAAATATGCTGGACACATACATGTCTGAAGCCAAAGAGGAGAATGGACAAGAAGATATTGGGGCGACCATCTTCCCCTGATGGATGATTTCTCACTTTGTTTCTCTCTCTGTGTGTCTCTGTGTATGAGGCAAGCACATACATCCTATAGCAAAAATCTTTCCTTAAAAAAGAAAAGAAAAATGGAATTCTGCATTATGTAAAATGCAATGGAAAATATTTCACTAGCTCATAAAACTTTGTATGTCTTATTTTTCTAAAGTAATCATAAATTTAGAAACTGTAATTATTTAACTTACCAATAGACTGTGACTTTCAAAGATGCTTTCTTTTTTCTTATTTTAATTTTTTTTATTATTTTTTATTATCATTGTCACTATGTGATAATAAGATCTGTGGTAATGTCTTTGACTGAACCAATATACAGTGAATTCTGTAGAGAAAATTCACTTGGTATGCTCCAATAATACAAGGAAAGCTTCTTTTTATAAAATTATTTATTTAATTTTATTTCTTATCATTATTTATTTTTTAATTTGACCAATGAGCTAGAGAGAGAGCGAGAGGAGAGGAAAGTGAGAAAACAAGTTGCTAGGTCCAGGACTCAAACCACAGTCAGTCATTTGGGAGTCCCACACCTTAACTATCACACCACTTGCTGGTCCCCAAGAAAAACTACTTTATCATCCTTGCTAAATTCATTTTGGGCAAATATGTGGACCTTAGAGTTTCTTAAAATTCTTAACATTCTCTTATAACAATTTGACTATAACATTATAATGTCATTTAGGAAATGATTCATTTTCTCAAAAAAGCTATTTCCATTTTGTCTCTTCATTCCAAAGTCAAAGAGTAAAGCCACTTTAGGAGAGAAAACACAGAGTTCTCAGAGAATATAGAGACCCTGACATAAGTATCTACTCTTCATATAAAACAATGATATATCCTGGGGCTCTAGACCCTGTGTACACCCACACTCATTACACCTAGGGGTCATGCCAACCAATTTGAGCAGTGTGGATGTGCTCAGTTGAGATGCTTGGAATCTAGTGACATTATTGAAAATCAGCAGTTCTATAAGAAGGACCTATATTTAACTATGATTTCTCTATATATTCTTGGCTTGACCATTACCAGATTCAAAAAGCACTGTAGTATGCACCGATTGGTCCAACCTATCATGAGGTCAAGTAATTGTCTAACCATCTCTTAAGAAAATTGAATCTTGATAAAATTTAGGCTGAACCCATTCTTCCAAAAATTGTTTCATTAGTGAAATTTACTAGAAAAGGACACCAGTCTCTTTATTGCTACAAATGGGCCTTGTCGATAATTCACCAGTCATAGAGTTGAACAATGACCCATCTTCAGTCTCTCAGGAAGTTGTAGGTCTTCATGTCAAAACTACCACAGAAACCTGGTGTGTATGAGCAAGAGTTTTATGGAATTCTTGAATTAAGTAATAATATTTTTTGACAGAGTGCTAATGATGAGAGTAAGATGTGAGTGCATCATGCAGTACTGAATTTTTTATATTATAATGCTAAGAAATCAAAAATAAAATAAAATAAAATGAGAGAATGATAAGATTACAAACTAAAAGATTGCACATAAGACATAATAAATCCATATTTATTGATTAGATGAATAAATTATTGGATGGGTGAATGGATAAAGGGATCCAAACCACCCTCAAACAATGGCAAGTCTTCACGAATCGTATGCACCCACAAAAGTAGTCCTGTTTTTCTTACATTTTTTCTCCCCAATTTCCTTGCTAGTTAAGGATTAGGTTGTGCAAAATTTCCTTCTAGTAACAGTTCTGCGGATGGCATCTTTGACCTCCTTGTTTCTCAAGCTGTAGATAAGTGGGTTTAACATGGGAATCACCGCTGTGTAGAACACAGACACCACTTTATTGAGATTCAGGGAGAAACTAGCACTGGGACGTACATAAATAAAGAAGAGTGTACCATAGAGGATGGAGACAGCAGTCAGATGGGAAGAACACGTAGAAAAGGCTTTCCGTCTCCCATCAGCAGAACAAATCCTCAGGATGGCAGTGAGGATGTAAACATAGGAGACCAGGATAGTCAGACCACTCAAGACTCCCACAGCTCCAGCCACAACAAAAACTACCAACTTATTGAGTCTGGTGTCAGCACACACAAGGGAAAGAAGGGGGGACATGTCACAGAAGAAATGATTGATGACATTAGGACCACAAAAAGGGAGACGGAATGCATTTGTTGTATGAGTCATGGTGTTCATGAAGCCAATGACATATGGAACCACCACCAGCTGTATGCAGAGCCTCTGGGACATAGCTACTGAATATAGTAATGGATTGCAGATGGCCACATAGCGGTCATAGGCCATGGATGCCAATAGAAAACACTCTGCTGCCACAAAGAACCCAAAAAACCATTGCTGTAAGGCACAACCCAAGAAAGAGATGACTTTCCTCTTCATAAAGAAATCATTGAGCATCTTGGGGCTCACAACTGAGGAGAAGCAGATGTCCACAAAGGACAAGTGGCTGAGGAAAAAGTACATGGGTGTGTGAAGGCGGGAGTCAATTCTGATCAGAACAATCATGCCCAGGTTTCCAGTTAGATTGATGATGTAGAAACTCAGAAAGAGCAGGAAGAGGAAGACCTGTAGCTGGGGGTTATAATTCAAGCCTGTAAAAATAAACTCGGTGACCCTTGTGTAGTTTTCATCAGCCATTGACTGTGTCTGGTTTTCACTAGAAGAAGAACAAAAGATTCACGGCTGAGTCGGTCAATATGACATCAAAAATGCAACATGGCAAAAATGTACCAGGAACAGAGAAAGAATTAAGGATGCTATGTGTTAGTTACATCTTGTCACTGAGAAACAAAATGAGATAAACATACACGCAAAATAATAGAACTGAAACCATGACAAATTAAGACTGGAAATCTATCTATATATGGTTGAGAAAATGCATCGCTACAAAAGAGATAAAAGCTCATTCAAGTCCTATAACTAATGACTCACAGTTGGTTTCAAAATACATGCCTAGTACCACACGTCTGGTTTAATGGTACAGGAAAATGAGACTGAAGCAAGTTGTAAAAGAAAAGCAGCCACTCATTTCTAGATCATTGCTGTGCATATTACGATTACAACTTATTGCTAAACGCATGTTCTCTAAATGTTCTAGAAGCAACTTCCTCTGACTCTGAGAAAGTTACTTATCTTCATCAGTAAAACAGGAATTATAACTATAGTGATGATGATGATAGTAATAATACTTACCTTCAAGTGTGGTAACTAAGTGAGATACTGCATACAAAGAATCAATTTATGTAGAGTCTTACTGGATATCTAGATACATGTTTTTTTTTTCATTTATTTATTTTTACATTTTTCCACAAACATTTACTTTACATAGCAAAAAATTTTAGCTCATACTCCATAATTCTTGAGCAGACACTCGGTATATATTAAGTGGGGACATACAATGCCTCTCTTTCATAGCATGACTTGCTTCACTCAGCAGTAATAATTATTAGTTGTTGTGGCACATTAGCTAATCTCTCTACAAGTCCTACATGCCAAATATTATTACATCTTTTAATATAATGGAAAAATTTGAAGTAATCCCACATTTATGAAGCTAGAGATAGCAAAAGTAGACTTTAACATCTCTGTCAAACTTTAAATATGGGCTCTACATTTGGACTCCCTCTAAAGAAAGGACTATACACCCTTTTAATCACATTGAAGGAATGATAATCTATGCCTCTATTGTTCATTTTATCTCAAAGATATCCAAAAGAAAACAAATAAATCTGGAAAAGAGGAAAAATTTCTACTTCTTCAATTAATCATTCTGTCTCCAGCTATAAGTATGATCATGGTCATATCAGCCAGTTCTTAGAATCTTTGCTGCTTAATTCATTAATCGTGGCTCAATTCTTGTCCTTTGAACTCTAAAAACTTTCATCCACTTTGAATATGAACATCAATATGCAAATACATAGAAAGCTACTTACACTCTACCCCCTTTTTTTCTTAGCTTGGAATATTGGAGTCCAACATTATTGGCCAAAGCTGCTCAGTTCCTCTTTTTGAGTCTTGGTATTTTCTCCTGCCCAAGCCACTCTTCTAGCCACAATTTGGTTTCTCTATTTCTTTTTGTGCTTAGAATAGAAAACAGGGCTTCATCAAGGTCACAATCGTCCTCTATGTTCAGAGCATTAGGATACCATATCCAAACTATGATAGCCTTCCGTCAGCCAGGATTTCACCACGGTGGCTTAGAGCAGGATATGAGTTAAATTTAAGACTGTTTTTTCTTATTCTGCTGTTAAACGTTTCTGTCCCATTTTAAACTTTCGTGATTATGCTTTGATCCAGTCACAGAATTTTGACTTATCTTGTTTAAATCGTCTCTTCTGAGATTTTGCAGAATCACCCAGCAATATGAAAATCGTACAGATCCTGGCCATGAATCAAATATATACAGTATTTAAATTCAACCTAAAATAACTTATATTCTTTAACTTATGAAATAACAGGTAAAAATACAAACAGAAAACTATTTTAAAATTCTCAACTTAACATTCTAATAGACCAGCACATCTTAAAAGATGATCTTAAATGTAAATAAAAAATGAGTCATGTTTTTCGAGCATCATTCCTACCCTTAACATAGGTACCTTTACACAGGGAACATACTCATTTGACTTTATTCTATATTATCTTAAAAAAAAAAAAAAAAAAGAAAGGGAAAATGTGGCAGGCTTCACTGTAAACATAATCTGAGTCATTGTCAATTAGTTGAAAGTTGTCTGATCTAATTGCATCATGTCTTTTGTTGTTATTAAACACACTGTGTCCCCGAAGTGTACCATATCTTGGGAAATGCGACTTCTAAGGGAAAGTAAACTTTTGTATGGTAAATCAGCCCAGTGACGTCCATTTCCAATTAAGTCTGTGTTTGCTCTTTTTAATCCATTTATGTTTTATAATAGTTGTTATTTTAATTATTAATTTATACATAATAGTTGTACATGTTTGTGAAGTATAGTGTGGTTATTCAAATATATATACAATGTGTACCAATAAAATCAGCCCAACTAATACTTTGTGTTTTAGAGATTTTTGCCTTAGGGTACATGTGTTCACTGAAAGAGAAACAGACAATGAGAGGGAAAGTGAGAAATCATGCCCTCAGTGGGGATGGCCATACCCCAATCCCTTCTCCTGCATTCTCCTTCTGGAATCTTGTGCATGCATGTTCATGTGCCCATTGTGATTTTCAAGCTGTGTCCAGGACTCAAACTGTGGTCAGCAACCTAACTGCTATACCATCTGCTTGTCCTAACAAAATATTTTTATGATTTATCTATATTAAATATCAAAATTTAATTTCTTTCTTTATTTCCTGAAGTTTTCCAGAGGGCATGAGAGCATGCTAAATATAGATGAAAGGGGAGGGCAAGAAATCACCCCCATGAGGAATGGTCACACTGCAATCCTTTCTCCTTCATGTTGCCCTCCTTTCAATTTTAAGCATGCACATACACGCCTTGTTTCTCAAGCTTCCAGGTCCAGGATTCAATCTGTGCAGTTGGCCATGTGAGATCTTGCAGCCTTAAACGCCACACTACAGGCTGACCCAGAAAAGAAAAGAAGAGAAGGGAAAGAAAAGGAAAAAGAAAAAAAGGAGAGAGAAGAGAGGAGGAGAGGAGAGGAGAGGAGAGGAGAAAAGAAAAGAAAAAGGGAAAGAAAGGAATAAAGAGAAAAAATGAAATGAAAAAAGAAAAGAAAAAAGAGAAGGAAGGGAAATAAAAAGGAAAAGGAAAGAGAAGAAAGAAAAAGAAAAGAAAAGAAGAGAAAATAAAGAAAAAAAAGAGAAAAGAAGGAAAGGAAAAGAGAAAAGAAAAGAAAGGAAAAGAAAGAGGGAAGGGAAGGGAAAGGAAAGGAAATGGGAAATGAGAGAAATGAGAAAGTAAAAAAGAAAAGAAAAAGAAAAGAAATTCTGCACTATTTAAAAACAATAAAAAGAGCTCAATAGCTCATAAATCTTTGTATATATTACTTCTCTAAAGTAAACAAAAGATTGTGGGACCAGCAATTAGCACGGTGGATATATCACTGGACTCCCATGTAGCCGACCACAGTTCGAGTCCCAGACCTGGTGACTTAAACTCACACCAGGCGTGTGTGCCTCTCTAGGATCCTGAGAGGAGAATGGAGGAGAACAGATTGCAACATGGCCATCCTCCCTAGGGGGGTCATTTCTTGCTTTCTGTCTTACCGGCAAGGCCACATGCCCTATAGCAAAAACCTCTCAAAAAAAAGAAAGAAAGAAAGAAACATTAGAAAATTTATTTATTTACCTTGCCAGTCAATTCTGACTTTCAAAGAAAACTTTTTTCTTTTTTCTTTTCTATTATTTTCATTTGCATTTATTATTTTTTTACATTCAATCACTGTAGATAATACCTATGGTGATATCTTTGACTGAACCAATATACAGTGTATTCAGGATGAGGAAATTCATTTGGCATACTGTAATGATATAAGGAAAGCTTCTTAATGAACTTTGTTAAGTTCATTTTGGGCAAATAGGTGGACCTTAGAGTTTCTTAAAATTGTTAGCATTCTCTTATAACAATTTGACTGTAACATTATAATGTTGTATAGAAAACTATCCATTTTATCAATGGAGCTATTGCCATTTTGTTGCTTCATGCCAGTATCAAAGAGTAAAGCCACATTAAGAGAGAAAAGAGGGGGGACAAGTAGTTAGCTTAATGGCTATGTCGCTGGATTCCCACGTAGTCAACCGCGCTTTGAGTCCCAGACCCAGTGGCTTAAAACTCACGCCAGGTGCGTGTGCGTGCGTGCCCAAGATCCCAAGAGGAGAATGGAGTAGAAAGGATTGCGGCAAGGCAATCCCCCCTGGGGGGGTGATTTCTTGCTTTCTGTCTCTCTGTCTCTCTCTGTCTGTCTGGCGAGCGCACGCGCCCTGTAGCAACCAAAAAAAAAAAAAAAAAAAAGAGAGAGAGAGAAAAGAGGGACCAGCAGTTAGTGTAATGGCTATGTCGCTGAACTCCCATGTAGCTGATCATGATTCAAGTCCCAGACCCAGTGGCTTGAACTCACGCTGGGCATGTGTGTGTGCATGCTCAAGATCTTAGGAAGAGAATGGAGGAGAAGGGAATGTGGCGTGGCTGTGCCCCTTGGGGGGTGATTTCTCGCTTTCTATCTCTCTGTCTCTCTCTGTGTTTCTGGCGAACACACGTGACCTATAACAAAAATCTCTCAAAAAAATAAATAAAAAAGAGAGAGAAAACAGAACTGGGCACCCTTCCTAGATTTCTAGGAAATATGAGGACCCTGGCATAAGTATCTAATTTTCATATAAAGTAATGATATATCCCAGGGCTCCATACCCTGTGTACACCAAGTACTCATGACTCCTGGGAGTGATGCCTACCAAACTGAGCTGTGTGGATGTGCTTCTTTGAGATTCTTAGAATCCACTGGCACTACTGGACATCAGCAGATCTATATGAAGGACCTATATTCAACAATATCATTTCTCAATATATTTTTGGTAGACCATTTCCAGATTCAAAAGGAACTATATTAAGAACATTCATACCCAATCTACCAAAAGTCAAGTGACTCTCTAAACATATGACAGAAAATATAATCTTGACAAAATATAGGCCTGACCCATTATG